TTTTTTTTTTTTTCCTTTTCTTTCAAATTGAAAATTGTAACTGTCATCACCAAAGTTAATTCAAGGTCCACAGCTGATAAGAAGGCAGTGATTATCAGTTAAAGAGGCCCACGGGTCATGATGAAGAAGAAACCAAAAGGCGCTCAATTTCGTTTATATCAGAAACAGGGGCCCACGGCCCGCAGCTGATAAGTCATTGTTCGGCTTGTATTTAAAGAAACCTGTTCTCATCTCCTGATAAAGCTCTTGACAAGTGAAGTGACGTGCTCGTACTCCGCTTCTTTCTGATAAATGGGTGGAGTCTCAGCCGGAGATCTCGCCGGAGCTATTATTTCCGGTGAGTGCTTGGTCGATTTGGGTTCTCTTTTCTGTTGCCTCTTCGCAATTTGTTCATGGTTTTTGTTGAGCTGCGTTTTTGTTCCTGATCCGATTTCAATGGGTGGGTTCCAATGACTGTGTCGAATTTCGTTTATTTTAGTGGGTTTTTCTTACATTATCATGTGTTTTTTACTCAAAAATTGGTCGGCCTTTGTTTGTTTGCTTGTTTCAGGGTTTTAGAACGTTATTTCGATTCTAGAGCAAGAAAAAGCAATTAATCTCTGCAGAAATTTGCTTTTGGGAACAGAGAAAAAGTTGTTGATTCTTTTTTATCCATTAAAAAGAAGAAAAATGGGATTGAAAATGGCAGCTGGTTCATTACATTGGTCACAGCCTTCAGTCCATCACTCTCCATCTTCTTCCCAGACATTACCTTCTGCAATCTCATCCCCTTCCTCAGAACGACGTAGTTTAGGTGCCGGTTATGCGAAACTCCACTCTTCTCTGTCTTTCCGTAACAGGAATTCCCGGGCCCGAATTATCAGACGGGCCCTGTCAGCTAGTCTGGACTCATTTTCCGATGAAGAGTTTTCCAAAAAGATTGAAGCTTTGGCCTTAAGATTTCATCCGGGCCATGAAGATCACGATGAGGATGATTATGATTGTGACAATAGCTCAAGAACTAACGATTTGGACAAAAATTTGCGAAAGTTGTGTGATGCTGTGGAGCCCCCGGACGAAATTATTCCGGCCAACATCGAGCGGAAGGCAAACAGCTTCGATATTCCCTTATCCCTTAGAATGATAAAACGGAAAATACAATTGCAGGATGGGATTATGGAGGCCAAGGACTCGGCTTGTTGCTCGGTGAAGAAAGCCTTCTCATCCATGGTGTTCATAATCCGCGAGCTCCAAAGCTACACTCTTCAGATGAGGGAGATTCTGTTCTACGAGGATTTACAAGGTATTCTTACGAATGTCCAACGAGAAATGCACGCGACTTTTGTGTGGCTGTTCGAGAAAGTGTTCTCACACACCCCAATTCTCATGATGTACCTCATGATACTCCTCGCGAACTATAGCGTTTACTCCATGTCAGCCCACGCAGCCTTAGCCAAAACGCCACCTGTACAAGCGTGCCAAGTCGATCATGATGATAATAATTATCCTTCAAAGATTTCGTCTGTTGTTAAAACTTTGAGGTTGTTGCCTCCTTCATCTAGCAATGGAAAAACGGCCTCGATAGGAGGGAATAGTAATGGTGGTGGTAGGAAGTGTAAGCCGGTGGATAGTGGAATGGATGGTGAAGGGAGGTTTAACGAGTCGAATTATGGTGGGGTGGGCTCGATTTCTACTAATATTTTTTTTTCGAACATGTCTAGACGGGCCTCAGCTGAGGAAGAGGAGGTGCTGTGGGGCTCGATTGTGGATGAGACGAACGAGCACTCAGAGTATTTGAGAACAGATATGTTTTACCAGTCGGAATTGGATCAAGAGCCTGAGAATACCCTTTTGCTGGCGAATTATGCGCAGTTTCTTTACCTTGTTGCTCGGGATTACGACAGGTAGTGCACTTTTTTTTTTTAAATTTATGTTTTA